TAGCCAACTTTCTACCCACCTTATAGTGCATTCATCCAGCCCATACTTCTTTAACTTGCTGACAAGAATACTGTGGGAGACTGTGTCAAAAGCTTTGCTAAAGTCAAGAAACAATACATCCACTGCTTTCCCTTCATCCACAGACCTAGTAATCTCATCATAGAAGGCAATTAGATTAATCAGGCATGACCTTCTCTTGGTGAATCCAGGCTGACTGTTCCTGATCACTTTCCTCTCGAGTAAGTGCTTCAGGATTGATTCCTTGAGGACCTGCTCCATGATTTTTCTGGGGACTGAGGTGAGGCTGACTGGCCTGTAGTTCCCAGGATCCTCCTTCTTCCCTTTTTTAAAGATGAGCACTACATTAGCCTTTTTCCAGTCGTCCAGGACTGATCGCCATGAGTTTTCAAGGATAATGGCCAATGGCTCTGCAATCACAGCCGCCAACTCCTTTAGCACTCTTGGATGCAACACATCCGGCCCCATGGACTTGTGCGTGTCCAGCTTTTCTAAATAGTCCCTAACCACTTCTTTCTCCACAGAGGGCTGGCCACCTACTCCCCATGCTATGTTGCCCAGCGCAGCAGTCTGGGAGCTGACCTTGTTCGTGAAGACAGAGGCAAAAAAAGCATTGAGTACATTAGCTTTTTCCACATCCTCTGTCACTAGGTTGCCTCCCTCATTCAGTAAGCACTGAACTTCCTTTCCTGAGGCCTAAAAGCACAAATGCCAGTGGAACTTTACATGGAAGAGGCAAAAGTCTGATAGGTTATTTTGAACTTGTATTGAGCTAGATTTTCATCTAGTGTAAATCTGTTTAGCTCCATTGATGGACCGATGCCGATTTACATGGTCTGAGAATCTATCTCACAGTTTTTAATCACTTTAATAACTAAAATCAGACCCCACTGGTAGATAGCAGTATTTTGATAGGTAGTGAGCCAGAGACACTGGATATAACTAAAACAGTGGCAGTCATAGTCCCTCTAACTGGATTTGGGTTAATATTATTATTTATAGCTAGTCAGAAAATGTTTTTCCCACCAGCGAAAATTTCCAAAAAAAAAAAAAATTCCAGTGGAAAATTTTGACTTCTTATTGAAAAAAGGCCACTTGAATATATTCCAGTTTTTGCCAGCCAATAACTAGAATATTTTCACGCCCCCCTCCCCCATTAAAAAAAAGATTTTGGGAAACACTGAAAAAACAATCAGTCAAAAACTGCTGAGCATTGAAAAACTCTTGTTGGTTTTGGCCATGAAATTTCAGGATTTGAGCTTTTGATTCTCTGATGAAAAATGTCTAGGAAATCAAACACTCTGCAAACATTTTCATTTTGTTGAAAAATCCAGTTCTGTAGGAAGAAAAATTTGGACAGAAAATGCGCAACCAGCCCTAATTACACTGCGGTAGTCCCCAGTTAATATGAGCTGATCACTTCACAAAATGGCTGAGCTATCTAAATAATTCCACCTCAGCATTTATAGCATCACCTGTGGTCATTTTAGCTGCAAATATTGAGAGAACCAAAACAAACGAGTTGTAAGGGTCCCTGCTGTAACTAGAATTTGTGGGCCTTACGCAGTGTTAATGCCTGTGAACTATTCTTTTTTAAATAATAAATAATAATAATAAAACTTTTTAAGAAAAAATGACTCATTGCCATAAAAATGGGCTGAGGCAATGAGTGCAGCGTGATGTAGTAGAGAAATAAACATTTAGTGTAGAAAATTATATTCTTAAAAGTTGTGTGACCCTGACTGATCCCAAATCCACTGATGACAAAACTTAGTGAGAGCTTTTCTATTTACATCGGTGGGCTTTGGCTCAAGTCTATAGTGAAAGTGTTGGGGTTGCACCTTTCAGTGTAGTGAAGTGTATTTCCTTACTCACCGTGCTCTGCTTTGCTACATACTGTCACTAAGCGGTAGGTGGCTTGTTGGATCCATAGAGAGGAGATGCTAGAAAAGATGGTTACCGTCACAGGTTCTTTCCAAAGTTTCCAAAGAACAAGCCCAGCAACAAATGGGATATGTGAATATGAGTTTGGCATGTTTCAGAATCTGATGATATGGTTAAATGAAAAGTGACTAGAACCACAGCAGTCAGAAAGTGCATGGTGCTAAAGGCAAGTATCCCAGTAAAGCTCTTTAACTGCCATCACCAGAAAATTCTTAATAACAATTAGAGTCCCATACCTGCTTCTGAACCCACCTAGTTTCCAACCAACTGCACTCTTTTAAGGACAATCATGTTATGAGGTGCAGGATAAGGGTAATTTGGTTATATCCTCTTGGTTTCACTGAAACAATGTGAATGGAATACGAGTGAAATGGTAGGTTCCCCCGTCCAGCGAATACAGCGCACGCTGGTGCTGGGATGTTATTCTGAGAGAATAGAGATGTAATCAAAAAATCTCATTATACCTCAGAAGTCTGTACAAAGAACCCGCTTTCCTTCTCCTAAAAAATGGAAATAATTTGCTTTCAGTTAATATTTTCTTCCTACCGCAAGAAGTCAGATACCAGCAACCTATAAAAAGAATACCCTGGCCAAAACCTAATCATCTCCTCCAAACTCTTTTAATATCGCTTTAAAAATAAATTATTCATACATTATTCTGTCCAGTATGCCAGCTATTCTTTTTCTCTATCCAATATCCTGTAGGTAATTCTGCTTACTGCAAAGCCAGAGAACAATAAACTTGTGACTGGGCCAGGAGATATAAGGGGCCTGATTCTGCTCTTACACTTGTGTAATTCCAACCACTTGCATGGAACTAGGGAGCTATTTAGCCTTGATTCTTCTCTCACATCATCAACCAATATGTTGAGGAAAATAACTACTGTGAAGTCAGAATCAACAAGGTAAGCCTATTGAGACTGGTGGTCCAGGGTAATGGGGCTTGTAAGTGGTAAGTAAGCAGTAAGCAAGTAGATCAATATCTTCTCGGTCTGCAGGACTTCGAACACCACTGTAAATTTATCTGAAACTCATCAGCAGTTTAATTTATGGCTCTGTTTAAAGTCATAGAGTTTCAGGCCAGACGGGACTATCAGCTCATTTAGTCTGACCACCTGCTTGTCACAGGCCACCAACACCGCCAAGCAGGGCCGGCTCTAGGCACCAGCAAAACAAGCAGGTGTTTGGGGTGGCACATTTCTAGGGGCGGCATTCCGGCGCCGGCCATGCCGCCCCTAGAAATGTGTCCCCACCATCCCAGCTCACCTCCACTATGCCTCCGCCTGCTCCCCTGAGCGCGTCGCCACCACTCCGCTTCTCCCTCCTCCCTCCCAGGCTTGCCGCACGCAAAACAGCTGTTTGGCGCAGCAAGTCTGGGAGGGAGGGAGGGAGAAGCCGAGCAGTGGCATGCTTGGGGGACGCAGTGGTGGTGGAGCAGAGGTGAGCTGGGGTGGAGAGTGGTTCCTCTACCCCTCCCCGCCTGTTACTTCCTGCACTCCCCCCACCCTTGCTCTCCTCCATTCTGCCTGCTCCCCTGAATGCGCTGTCTCTCCCTCACCTGAGGGGGAGCAGGGAGAAGTGGAGTGGCGGCGTGTTCAGGACAGCAGGCGGAGCGGAGGTGAGCCTGGGCGGGGGGGTTGCGGTGGGGGGAGCCACAGGAAGCAATGCGGGGGGGAAATGTGGCACACCCAGGGGAGGAAGCGGGGCTGGGAATTTGGGGAAGGGGTTGGGAAGGGGCGGAGTTAAGGAAGAGCTGGGGGCAGGAGGGCATGAAAAAAATGCGGGGGCGGCCAAAATTTTGTTTTGCTTGGGGCGGCAAAAATCCTAGAGCCGGCCCTGCAGCTGAGCAACTGCACGCTAAACCCAATATCCAAAATTAGACCAAAGTATTAGGGTATGTCTACACTGCAATAAAACACTCGTGGCTGGCTTGTGTCAGCTGACTCGGGCTCATGGGGCTTGTGCTGTAAAATCATAGTGCAGATGTTCAGGCTTGGGCTGGAGCCTGCGCTCTGGAACCCCATGAGTGGGGAGGTTTCCACAGGAGACCAGACGAGAGGCAGGGAATAGGAGGGACTGAGGTGCACCAATGCCTGCGGCCCCTGAAATGGCAGGGAATTGATTGAGTGAGATGTACCCACATAATCCCAATAAGTGACCTGCATCGAGTGCTACAGAGGAAGACAACCCCTCCTTCTCCTTAGCAAAGCAGATCATTGCCAACCTGGCCTGGGGGAAAATTCCTTTCCAACCCCTCATATGGTGATCAGTTAGACCCTGAGCATTATGAGCAAGAACCAGCCAGCTAAGCACATGAAAGAAAGAGAACATTCGGTGTCACTTTAGAGCACTGGCTCAGCCTGTCCAGTGTCTCATCTTCAGCCATGGCCACCTCTGATGCTTCAGAGGAAGGAGAAAAAACAAAAGAAAACAAAAATACTCACCATGGACAATACGTGTTTAACTTAATGCTTGGCAACATCATCAAAATGGATCTGCATCACTCTTTAATCATTTCAGATATAACCTATTTCAGTGCTTCACTCATCATTTGCTTTTCTTTTAAACCATTTGATTGCCAGGCTCTCATTCATTTGCTACGTTACCGTTTCTCTCAGGAAAAGGTTGTGTGTAATTTAGCAGAATTTAAACTAATAGGGTTCTATAGAAATTACTCTGAAATTGAGAAACCTGTAGAGAACTAGCATTTTCTATAAAAAGTTTCTTTTCCCCTATGGGTTGAAAGAGATGTCCCAATTAAACCAACAGAGCTGGTTTTGCCTGAGGCATTCAGAATCACTAGAATAAAGTATGCATCTGCCAGATGTTGCTCAGTGCATTCTGCAGCTGTGACCAAGACAGAGCTGTCCCCTGACCCTATTGAAGTCAATGGATTGTGCCACTGACCTCATCGGGATCCACATTTATTTCAGAGTGTTTTTCTTTGGCAGATCACCATTAACAATTCGTCCATTATTTCCTATCATGATATTCTGGCCTTCAATGGAGGATTAAAAGATGAGACATTTTTTCCTTACCTAAAACCCACTTCATGATTAGCAGTTCTGTCCATGAGAATTGAGTAGTTTTTACTCTAAATATTTGTTTGGGATGATCCGTGATGGTCTCGTTGGGAAGATTTTTCACTCCTTCAAACCGGTCTGAGGCATTCACTACTAACAGTCCAAGGAAGATTGTAAAAGAAACTGCATGTGCCACAAACTTCATGAAAGGGCTTCGGAGGATCCGTCCCAGCTGAAAAGAAAATGTGTACAAGACAAAAGTTTTATTATTATTTTCCTGGTCTAGTTCCCATGTTTTCTAGTGTTTCTCTCTAACACAGATGAGAGTATTTATACTTTGGAAGTTTGCTGAAAACTCCAGAACTGAGCTACTCTTCATGTATTAAAATAATACATAGAATCTATAGAAAGCTTGTTCTTTGCTGCTTCCAGATCATGCCCAGGGCATTATGAATTAGGCTAACTGTTCATCTTAGGATGTTACATTTCTCTCTTACTACCCACAGATGTTTGCATGATATCCAAATTGTCCTGTTCACTCTAAGGCAGAAAGGAACAAGGATATATATTTTATATATGTCTGTGTGTATTTTTATATAGATATGAAAACACAGTGCATCTTAGACTATTCTGGACCTAATTCTTCTCTCCCTCACCACAGCCTAAACTGGTATAAATCAGGCCCTGTGCTAGTATAATAAATCTCTGTGATAGCTGAGCTGTAGCTCACGAAAGCTTATGCTCAAATAAATTTGTTAGTCTCTAAGGTGCCACAAGTCCTCCTTTTCTTTTTGCGGATACAGACTAACACGGCTGCTACTCTGAAACCCGTTTATCTAGTAGATCTCTCATTCAATCTCATTAGATCTCTCATTAACTTGTCTGACACAATATTTTCTATAAAAAGTTCTTTGATAACACTCTTCATATGCATCAGTATGTTAATTGTCTACTGTAATTATTACAGCATTTACTGAGTTTCTCAATATACCACAATGACCTATTTTAATACAATAAATACAGAAGTGGTGTAAGCACTGATCTGAACCAAGTTCTTTTCAGAGTAACTAAAGTTTCTCTCATCCTTATTGAGAAACACGGTTACCTAGTTGGCTAATTAGATAACCCTTATCTCTTTATGAATTTCCCCTGAATTAAGAATATATTACCCCCGAAAGAATATGTCAGAGCTAGCCGTGTGATTATTTACTCTTGGACCAATGCCTCCTTTGTATTGGAGATGAAGGGTTATTTTCACAACCTTGCTTTGTATCGAATGTTTTGATCCTTAAACAGAGAAGAGATGTGGGAAGAGTTCAGACACTAAATTCCCCTCTCTTTCTTCCCCCCTCCTAAGCAACCAATTCCTCAAGAAAGAGCTCCCTCTCTAGTCTTTGAAATGGGGTTTCAGTGGTTAAATCTCTCTACTGCTTTACTCTAGTTCATTAACTGTTTCTGTAGAGTCTGACTATAGCACAATAAGAAACCGTAAATATTTTAAAACCCAAAAAACAACTATGCCAAGATTCTTTAGCGTTAACAAAAATTAGCACTGTTCAGTTTCTTATGTCTTTCTAGTGTCCGAATTTCTAAAATTGAAAATATATCTTTTAAAAGATTGCCAAAGCTGATTAACCTGTTGAAAAATTTAGGTCAGATCAAATTTCTGAAAGAGTTTTCCAAATGTGTGAATAGAAAAATGTGATCCTTATCTCAGCCCTACTGCAGCAGAGCCTTTAAGTACTTGCTTATGTCCCATTGAGGTCAATTAGAAATACTTAAACATTGGCTTAGTGCTTTATCAAATTGAGTTCTGAATTGCCACAGCAAATGATAGCTTTGTCTAAGCTAAGAGATTTTGCAAAAGTGTCCCACTATTCCTACCGCTGATTCAGTTCCCCATCACCAGGAACAGTGGGTTGTGTTAGTATAAGAAAGCATCAGCTGCTGGTATTTTAAAGACTGTGTCCTGTACACATGCTTTATGAAGGTTTAGTACTGATATGAGGCTTATACTACCACTCCCACCATATTGCTACCACTGAGAGAGCTGAATTGCTGGTAGAAATGGCAGAAGTTTGGCAAAAATATCCTAGAGTACGTACAGCCTATGGAACCGATTGTGCAAACTCTTACTCATGTGAACCACCCTATTGACACATTGACTTCAGTGGGCCTCAATCATGTGAATAAGGGTTTACATTATATGTTGGAGTGTGCGTTGGTACCTCCTCTGAGGAAACCCCCGTGGTCTCTGATCCATTTATGAATAAATGCAGTACAAATTGTTTAAGTTGGTTTCCATCTGTAATTCAGCATTCTTTTCTGTTCAGAGAACTGTCACTGAAGCTGACCAGTGTCATAAGACTATCTACTGGTTTGCAACATTTGGGCCTAGAATCTGTAGCTCTCCAGGTCTTGACCTTTCTTGTCTGGGTTCGGATCTAAAGAAATGCATTCGGTGCTTAAATGTTAAATTTGGTCAAGTTTAAGACAAGGTGAGGAAGAACACATTCGTACGACGTAGAACCCACAGAAACCTTGCTCCAAACCTCAAAACAAAACCGAAAAGATTTGTTTTGAGGTTTCAAACAAGAGAAGTATCATTGTCCCCCCCCCCCCTTACAATTCATTTTTCATCTACCCCTTCACTTCACAACAATGGAAGGAACCTGATTCTGTTTGCAATAGGTTGGGGGAGGGAAGCATTTATGAAATGCAATTTAGGAGGATTTAATGTTTCATTTTTTGATCTTTCTTGCTGTTCTGCTACTTCTCTTCCATCTGATTTTACAGAGAAAAAATGGTATAGAAAGTATGATGAATAGAGATGTGAGGCGCTACCCATTGGAGCATAGAAGTGTGGTTCTCTAGAGACTTTGTGGATGCCTCCCTTCAGGGCTGACATGCATCATTACCAAGAACTTTTTGGGAAAAATCTCTTAAAAATAGGAGTCTGATGAGTGAAAGAATGGGTGAATGAATTACCTAACCATGGTCCCAATTCAGGAAAGACCTACGCACATGCTTAAGTGCTCTCTTTCTTTCAAGACAGCCTGTAAACACATACTAAAAGTTAAGCTTGTGCTTAGCTACTGTCCTAAACAGGGATGCTTCCTGGAATCAGGACTTGTGTGAGCAGATGCATAGACAGTATGCAGGTGAATAAGTGGCTAAAAGTGGGGGTGAACAGTTCAATATGACAAGTTAGGAGGTGGCAGTAATCCTGGAGAGACAGACCCTTCTATACATAGGAGATGTTTCAAAAATTTCCTAGCACTTCTAATATTGGTTCAGTTTCACCAGTATGAGCCCTCGTGTAGACAGTTCACCTGCTGCAAATGCCATTTTAAGCCCAGCCTTGTTAGATAGTTGCACGCAAAGACTAGCAGACTGTTTACACTAGGACTTCCCAAGTTTTTAACACCATTGCTGGTGTTAGTAGCAGTGGGAATTTTTTGAAAATTTCTGTTAGTGTAGAGAGGGCCATAGGATAAGACTCTGGAACTATACCTCGTGTAGAATATAATTTTCCATATAAACACCAGTCAGGCCAAGACAATCACAAATAAGAAAGGCCTTAAGGCGACTATGGGCATATTGATCATTGCCTGGAACTTCTTAAGAAAACTCATTTTTAATTTATATGTGCTCAGTTCTATTCTGAATTAAAAGGGGGAAGAGCGATCTCCAGTGGACTATAAATTGCCTATGAATTATTAGGTGCTCCCTTCTGCCAGTGGACCCTTAAAACAGTTATCCATTGCATTACTGAAGGAAGCTTAGTGGAGTTTTTTCTTGAAGTGCAGTTTTTCATATCTTCAAAAAATCTCATTTTTACCTGAGTGTTGCAGGAGCTGGAAGTGTTGAGTGGAATCTTTTGTAGAAAACTGATGAAACATTAATTCTTTCAAATAACTCAGTGCCTTATGATAATTATATATAAGGCTCAATCTAGTTAAATTCTGGGTGCATGACCTACTTGTTTGTACTATTGTCCCCATTACCTTATTGATTCAAAACATTGCTTTTCATCAGACAGAAATGCTTCCTGGAATCTGGGCTTGTGGTTGATTATCACTGGCAAAGAGGACAGCAACAATCACAGAATACAAATTGCAAAGAGTCATTTCAAAAGAATGGCTTGTTTCAGGACTGAACGTCCGTTATATATATTTTGAAAAGGAATAAAGCTAGGAAACCTATCAAAGAGAGAAAACAAATACAAAAAGACAATATCAAATAAATAGAAGGGAAACGAAAGGTTCTAAAATAGGAAATAATTGAGTCAAAGAGGTGGGGAACAATGTAAAGAAACACACGGCTGAAAGAAAAGCATAGACTTTTTTTAATATTGAGAATGTTTTTTAAGGGGGTAGGTGAGAAAAAAAGTTAACTGGGAGAAACCGTTGGGGCTAGATACTCAGCTGGTATAAATTAAAAATAGTTCCGTTGCTAGACCAGCTGAGGGTCTGGCCCTTCATTTGCAGTGCACCAATGTGTGAAAGCCACATGACAATTTGTACACTGGGAGAGAACTTTGTAAATTAGTGAGCATAGCACTCAAAAGTGTTTGAATGATATACCAGCTTTGGTCAGCCTGGAAAATGTAGCAGTGGTAATCCTTTAAGATCCACACACAACCCAAGGTCTACCTGCTCAGGGCACCAAAATTAGGTACCACTACCAGTGGATTGGGCAGATCTTCAGAATTCCATCCTCCCTCTTCTCTTTTGCTTCGTTTGATTAGCAGTGAAATAGTTAATAATGTTGCCATAGAAATTATCATTAGGTTTAAGAATCCACAAGTCATCTAGATGCCTGGGTCAGTTCACACCTCTCAGAGCAGATATTCCAGCATTGGTTTACACTCCTTCCTAACCATAAGGGCTGGAGACTTAAACTGTTCTGTAAAGCTCAGATTTCACAGCACACAATGGCAGCCTCCAAACCATTAGCAGTTCACAAACTCATGTCAAGGCGGGCTAGTCTGACTCCTGTTAATGTACCATACTGGAATGGGATATTGTCTGTAAAGTTTGGGATAAAGTCAATAATCTGCTCCCCTTTCAGAGATAAATGAATAAAAGAGCCAGGAGCCATATTGCTTTTAGTGCCAACTGGTCTGTATAGCGGAGTGCAGAGAAGTTTTCATTTAGAGGCAAGTTCTGTTCTTCGATACACTAGCAGCAGAGTTGCTCTGATTACCCTGGAGCGTGAAATTTGGCTCCAACCAAAGACTGCAAGATTTGGCAGATACAGTTTAAGAACTGGTGTATTAGAAGCTACCCCCAGTGTTGGTCAGGACTAACTCTTGTAGTCAGCATCCCAAGTTGTTTCATAATGGAACTTATTATTGGTGTCATATTAACAGCCAGCATTGATAAAAATGTGTTTTTGATTAAATGTGATGAAATTTGATGAAAAAGTGTTCACATTCTCCATTAGCTTGAGAAATAGAAACTAATCAGTCGTTATTTTGAAGGATGTTGAGTATTAAACATCACTTATAGTCTCATCTGTTTTAGAAGCCCTACATTTTCTAGAAGATTGGTCTTTTGAAAATTATAGTCCTTTCTTAATATCCATCAGTGGATCTGTAATCTTGTGGACTTGGCAAACATAGAAAGAATTCCTTACAGGCACTTAAAGGAAATGGGACCAAAAGTTGTGAGGACTGAATCAGATAGCCATCACTTCTATTACTTTTAAGTAGGTTTGACAGGCCCTGTCCTGGAGAAACAGTGGATGATGTAGCCAACTGTTGTTCAGTAAAACATGGTCTTCTTCCCCCACCCAAAGTAGTGAAAAAGCTATTTATTGCTCATCCATAAGCACATTTATTTCCCCTTGTCTGAGCACTTTCTCTCAGGATAGAAGTTCCACCACAGAACTGGTACTGCAGGCAATTGTTCAAACTTAATGACCAACTGATGGCTGACTCAGGTACCCTTCCCCTCTAGCTCTTCCTAATAGAACTTTCAGCAGCATTTAATACTGTCAATCGCTGGATGTCTAACACAGATACAGAACAACTTTTAATGTTTCCGCATCTTCCCCCTCCCAAGTTTTGGAGACTGGGCCATATTATGCTATTAGGTGCAGTGACTTAATCTATTCTTCTACTTGACATTCAACAATCCACCTCTAATTGTCATGGACTGCTAATTCATTTTTATGGTGTCCCATGATACCACTAACTAAAAAGAAAAATGGGAGAAAGAAATAGTAAGGCACACACACACACACACACACACACACACACACACACACAAAAGTACCCTGGCAGAGAGGAAGAAGGACAGAAAAACAGGTTAAAAATGGAAAGAGATAGGAATAAACGTTAGGATGAGCAAAGAGACAAGAAACATTTTCCCCAAGTTATCCACCCTTTCTTTTTTCTTCTCCTTCTGTATCCCATTCAAATTCTTTCACCCGTTTCCATTTTTTTCCTATTTCCATTCTTTCCTTCCCGCTTGTTTGCTCAGATTTTCCATTTCCTCCACCCCCATCTTTATTACTTTTGAAGATTAATTTCAAAACATGCTCACTTGCTGCATTTGCAATGAGCTTGTTCTCACCCAGGGCAAATCTCAGAGGACAACATTGTTTGTGATGTTAGTTTCGAAAGACTTTTGACGTCATTCCAAGCACTGAATATAAATAACCATAAACAACATGCACCTTAACCAGTCTGTACCTTGCTGCAGGGAGCGATCCAGTATGCTATGGCGAGGAAAGGAAGGCCTACCGAGACTCCAAAGACAGCCAAGAATTTCACAGCTATAGACTGCTGACGTAAGCCTGAGAGATTTTCATACCACATGGTGAGCAGTTGCTGCTGACAGTTGGGGTGAGCAACAAACTGTAAAAAAAAAAAGTAATAATTAAAAAATAAAGGTATTTATAGCATCTCCGAAGAGCATGAGATTTCAGAAAGCAAACTGCTGTGCCTCAAACATAGACTGCAGCATGGAGATAGACAGCTGGTTGTAGTACGTTCTGCAGCCCACCAGAGCCAAGCATGGTTCATTTTTTTGTAATCAGCCAGAGCTCATAGTATAATTGTTCAGAAAATTGCAAATTAGTCTCTCTAAATATGTGCTCACCGGCAACATTTGTTCAGCCCCCATCTTCTGTTTCTCTTGAAGGGACAAACATTGCTATACTCGATCAGACCAATGGCCCATTAATCTAGTATCCTGTCTCTGACAGTGGCCTGTGCCAAAAGAGAGCTAATGTCAGGGGTGGGATTTGAACCTGAGCTTCTGGGAGGACTGCAACTTTAGCACAGCTCTATGGACTCTGCAACCGTTCCTCTTTATAATCATTACCACCATCACCATTAATAATAATAAGAAGAAAAAGGGACAAATTCTAAGGACTTCACTCATTTTTATGCTGATTCTACATTAAAGCCACTAGGATATGAAGATACATAACCACTCTAGAATTAGGGCATACAGGCCCCAATTCAACAGTCACTTAACTCCATTCACAGGCTTAAGTCCATCTCTATTCAGCAAACATCTTAAGCACATGCTTAAATGCTTTGATGAATAGGGATGGACATTTGTATGTGCTTAAGTGTTCTGCTAAACTGGGGCCATAATGAATACATCAGTTCTGGTAACCATGGCACTACCAAGTAAACCAGTTTTTATTAAAGAAAAAGGGCCATTAACAGTTTCAAAGCCATTGTTCCGATTTCATTTTCCATGTAGCAAACAATGAGGTGAAGTAAAACTTCTATTTAATCAAACCTTTGTCAAAGGCTAATGTATAGGGCAATTTTTTTGTACAAAACAAAATTAACTACCTATTAGTTTAAATGTTAAACCAGCATTAACATCTCCTTGCAAGAGGAGGTGGGGGGGGGGAAGAAATCATACATTTGGGAATATCAATTTGATATTCAATTTGAGCTTCAAAAGTGAACCGAGATGGGATCAATGCTTGAGTAAAGAGGAGCGATGAAACGTTGCTATGGACTGTGACCTAGAATAGATGATAACAAAGTTCTGTAGCTAAGTAGAATTTGTTATTCAGCACTAGTGTTAACTTGCTTCATTTACACTGACTGCTCACAGACCCAACAAGAAGGTTTCCCCTCCTCCCCCGCCATTTGCATGATTCTATTGCTTCAATATAATACAAAGTGTTAGGCTGGTCCTTGTAATTAGCAAGTGTAAACTCTTTAAAATAAATGAAAGCGCATCACTCACAGATCTGCAAAACAGTAAATGAGATACAAAATACAAAAGACTGCTCATGTACACACAGTACATATTTCTTATCACAAAATTGAGATTCTTCTTCATTCTTTCTGCACCACAGAAAAGAACATGCTAGTAGCTACAATCCAGAGACCAGTTTCCTAATGGAAGAATTACAGCACCATTGGGTCTCATGGAATCATTTTATTATAGAAGATTAAGCATCTTTAGTTCCCATCTTTCCACAGAGTGATTCAATTTACAAAATGTATACTGTGACTACTTTTTAATTATGTTTTATTATGATTAAAGATAAGGATAATTAAAAGAAAAGATAAAGGCAATATGTTACTTTTGTAGTTAATTGTGTTAGTGAGGAAGGAGTCGTCCATTTATGGGTTTCGAATGGTAATCAGTAAGAGAAGATTAAAAATATTGAATATTTCTCCAGTCTTTCCAAAATTGGGAATAAAGAAAAATGTCTGGATTTGAATGGATTCATAGTAAAATGACACCAAAAACTGAAAAGGACAGAAAGTCTAACCAGTGCTTTCATATCAACTATCTTTGTGATAACTAGCACATGGGTAAAAAAATCACACTTATATCTGTTTATAATAGATAGTTACAACTGGTTAAAATGTGTTTTTAATTGTTTCTTTATTGCTAGTGCAGATTGAAATACAACAACATGCTAATTAGGATTACTGTGAAACGGTGATTTCTGTTCTGCAAATAACAGCACTTTGATATATGTTTTTCAGTTAAAAGACAAGCTTTCGGGCCTGTCTTTGTGAAAAATAGAATTTATGAATACTGCTGAGTTGAGCTGAGCAAACAGTTCATAGTGAATAATTTATTTGATAAAACAACTTTTGCCTTTTTCTGTACACAAACTTTCCCTGGGGGAGTTCAGAATTTTCTTGAATATATGGGTTAATCTAAATTTGCAAAAATAACTAAAACAAAAAATTCTTGGTCTATAAATAATTGGTCAGCTGTTCATTGTGAGCATTTCAAATCTGAGCTTAATTGGTGACTATGGCCATCTGACTAGGAATTACAGGGGGTCCCCAGAATACATCTCCCCCTTATCCGTTGATGCTCATCAATAGGGGAACGTGTTCCGATTTACATTGGTGATCCGCATATCCGTTGTTTGCACGGATTGGGACCAACGTGAATTGGAACATGTTCCCCTGTTGTACAGTACAATACTGTACTTGAGTCTCATTCAAGGCCACATTCAAGGCTTATTACCTATGGAGGATGTTCTCCATGCTGATTTAGGAGATGGCAGGTGAAGGAAAGCCCAGTGTAAAGGAGTTCTGGAAGTCCTGCAACACCTTGAATGGCGTGGAAAACATTGATGTGTCATGGGAAGAGGTCACATTGCAATGTATGAATGGTATTTGGTGTTGTGCCTGGCCAGGTGCTGTCCACAGCTTCATGGGATTTGATGCCATTCCTGCTCTCAAGCAAGAAATTGTCAAATTGGTGAAGGATGTTGGCTTTGAGGAAGTGGAGGTGAAGGAGGAGGATGTACAGGAGTTGTTGGGGTCTGACACTGAGCAACTGACAAATGAGGAACTGACTGAGCTGGACCAACAACGGATATCTAAAGAACGCAAGGACGATGACGACGATGATGTAGGACAGGAATTCCGCCAGGAGTCTGACGACAAAGAATCTCTCCCGTTTCTTTGGTTTGCTGAATGAGATGACGGAACTCATACAGAGCAGTGATCCTTTTTGTGGATGGTCTGCCAAAGTCTCCAGGGCTCTCAATGACGCAGTGGCTTGCTACAGGAAGATCTACCATTCAAAGATTCATGCAGGAGAGCAGACGTTGATAAAATCCTTTTTTAAGACTTCTGCAACCAAAAAGCCAGCCACGGAAAAGCCAGCCCAAGAAAAGCCAGCCACCACCCCTACCTAAGTTTAGCATAATTGATGCTTTTTATACTGTATTACTGTCCTGTATTTACTGTATTAAAATGTCTTATGTGTTTGAACAGTGTTAGTAGGGTTCTACATTATTTTATTCAATGGTTTATGTGTAAAATGTGTACTGTATAGCCTGTCATTGTACAAAGGTACGCTGTTTGGGAGACAAGAGCATTGCCAGAGGTGAGTGTGGTGAAGTTGTGCGTGCACACCTCCCTTATTCCATTATTTCTTATGGGGAAAAATTCCCCTGTATACGGCATCTCGGAATCCATTGCCCTTTTCAAGAACGCAACCCCAATGTACACCGGGGACCCCCATTCACTGGGCAGTGTTTGCAGTCCAATCAATGCTATTTGGATTATTGCCTTTTTATGGCAAATAAATGAAAGTTATATCTCAAAGAAAAGCGGAACAACACTCAATTAGGCGGCAAGCTTTGCATTTAAAGTCAGTAGACCTAATGGACTGTAGGCCCTGTGCAACAGCAAAACTTTTTTCTGAATAAGTGAAAAGAATCTGTTAATTGTGTTACAAGAATTGACAGAAAAGAAGAAACTTTGTTGTCCTTGGCAGAAAGGCAGTCAAAGACTCATGCCAGCAGGCCCACTGATGGGGTGGTGGTGGGGGGAGCACAAAGGGGGCAATTGCCCAAGGGCTAAGGCGATTTAAAAGGACCCAGGGGCCCCCAGCCGCTGCCCCCCGCAGCGCAGCGGAGCTAAGGCAGGCTTGCTGCCTACTCTCACTCCGCGCTGCTCCCAGAAACGGCTGGAATGGCCCTACAGCCCCTGGCAGGGCAGTGGGCCTCCGCCCACTGCCCCACCCCGAGCGCCAACTCCGCAGCTCCAATTGGCTGGGAACTGTGGCCAATGGGAGATGTGAGGGCAGTGCCTGCAGGCAGCAGTGTGCAGAGATCCCCTGGGCCCCACACCTAGAAGCTGCAGCCAGAGGAGTGTGCTGGTTGCTTTCAGGAGCCACCCGAGGTAAGCATCGACCCCCTGACCCCCTCCCATACTCAAACTCCCTCCCAGAGACTGCACTCCCTCTTGCACCCAAACGCCCCCCCCAAAGCCCGCACCCCTCACCCCCTCCTGCACCCAAACTACCTCCTAGAGCCTGCACCCAAACTCCCTGTCAGAGCCAGAGCCCTCACGCCTTGCACCCAAACTCCCTCCCAGATCCTGCACCCCACACCCGCTCCTGCCCCCCAACCCTCTGCCACAGCCTGGTGAAAGTGAGTGAGGGTGGGGGAGAACGAGCAACAGAGGGCGGGGGGGTGGAGTGAGTAGGGGGTGGGGCCTCAGAGAAGGGGCAGGGCAGGGGTGTGGCTTCCGGGAAGGGGCGGGGCAGGGCAAGGGTCTTTGGGTTTGCCAATTAGACAGTTGGCAACCCTACCAGGCAGGCATGTGGAAGCCCTGGCTGTGCCGGAAGAGTGCGCACAGCAAGGCAGCCAGCAGCTTGCTGGGCACCAGCCAGCACAAGTGCAGCACCGCCCAAATGTCAGGGGGACCGCGTGCTTGGGGGCGTGCTTGGGGGCCCACTGACAGTTCTGCCCCGGCACCCGGAATAGCTGTCGGAGGGTTTGCATGCTAGTTCCCCTCCCAAAGAAATGGATCAGACATTTTAATCTAATTTATTGCTTCATTGTTTCCGGAAACAGCGACAATGAAAAATGAAAAAAAAAATGTGGAAAATGAGAAGA